GTACGGGCGCCGCTGGCTCGTCCTGCTGCTCTTCTCGCTGCTGGCCTTCGCGCAGGGCCTGGTCTGGAACACCTGGGGCCCCATCCAGAACTCGGCGCGCCAGGCCTACGGCTTCTCCAGCTGGGACATCGCGCTGCTCGTGCTGTGGGGGCCCATCGGCTTCCTGCCCTGCTTCGCGTTCATGTGGCTCCTGGACAAGCGAGGTGAGGGGCGGGGCCGGGCGGGGGTCGCGGCGGCGCTGTCCCTCCCCGCCGGCGCCTGCCCGCCGGCCCCCTGGGCTTGGCCCGAGGGGTTGTGTGAGGTGACCGAGTGTTGCCGGCGTCCGGCTCCCTGCTTAACCCGTAGACCCCAAAACGACAATTATGGGGAGACTGCTTTGCAGATACTTCTTTTTTTAATCGAGGCCCTTTGTACAATACTAGGGATCCAACTGATCCTCAGAGGAGCACGTTTTTGCTTATTGTGGACATCAGAGCATTCCAGTGCACGTGCTACAAACGTTTTCTACACCTGACAAAAAATGACTAATGCTTTGACTTCAGAGAGGTTTGGGATGTTGAGGGTGAAAGGTCAGAAAATAGATGGATGATGCCAGATGTGAGGAAGTGGTAATGAGTTGGCTTTGTATAATAGATGGCTCCTGCCCTGGATGAGCTCTTGAGAAGCCTAGATCTGACGCTTGGGTTTCTGGAAGGGAATGCATCACAGCTTTTAAAATGTGTGTATGTGACCATGTAGCTTTTTCAGATGCGGTTTATGACTCAGGTAAAGCTCATGGATGTACGAAGGTTCTCTTTCATGCAAGAGTACCATGGATGTCTCACTTTACTACTTACCAGTGTGATTATATGAGGAGGTCTTAGGAAAAATGGTCTTAGCGTTAAGAGTCAAGATACCGAATTACCCCGCGTAAGTAGTATAGTAAATGATTGGTAGTGATAATCTACCCTTAAGAGGCTATTGTGCAATATTTTAGATTTATGAGTTGAATAATGATTGAACTACTTTGTATATTTTGTGCTAATTCAACCTTTTATAAGTTTTATTGAAATGAGTTGTTTGGTTAAATTTGGATAATTAGCTTTGTCTACAGGGGCTGCTATAACAAAATGCCACAAAGTGGGTGCCTTATAAAAAACAGAAATTTATTTCCAACAGTTTGGAAGGCTGGGAAGTCCAAGATGAAGGCTTGGGCAGAGTCCATGTCTGGTGAGGGCCTGCTTCCTACAGTGTTTTGTTTTCCTTGTAACTTCTCTTATGGGAAAGGGCCAGAGGTCTCTGTGGGGTCTCCCTGCAGGTTAATATCCTCATAACCTAATCACCCCCAAAGGCTCCATCCCCTAATACTTTCACCCTGGGGATTAGGATTTCAACATATGAATTTGAGGGGAATACAAACATTGAGACCATAGCAAATTTAAGCATAGATCAGCGTAGAAGTGCAGTTGTCTGGCACAGAGCACTCAAATTCTTTGTTATTGAGAGAATTAAATGGCAGGATGATGGTAGCAGCTATACTTGCTCTCCCATCCTGATTCCTGACGATTCCATCATAGGAATCAATCTAGAAAAAGATTATGGAATTGGTGATTGTGAATTCATCCACAGCCAACGATGATGGCGCTGCTAAAATGGGAAGTCAGTTTTAGGCACAGAAGCATAGTGTTCAAAACATGAAGAGAAAATAGTTCACAATAGTCTGTACTGGTGAGCATTGACTTGTGGGTCATTTGACAAATTTTAAAAGTTTGTGTAACAAGACTGATGAAAGGTGTAAAAGTCATGATATATAAGACAAAGAGATCTGGGTGTGTCACCCTTCAAAAGAAACTTGATTTAGATCAAGTAAAAGAGGAATTGGACTTTGCACGGTACGTGTAGTTCTAGGAGGAAGATCGAAGCTGAGTACAGTAACCCATCCAAAAACACAGAAGAGGGGCTGGGGATTTAGCTCAGCGGCAAAAGCGCCTGCCTGGCAAGCGCAAGGTCGTGAGTTCGGTTTCCGGTACCGGAGAAAAACCAAAAAAAAAAAACAAAAAAAAAACACAGAAGAACCTTGTAAGAGTGAAAGGTATCCAGGTCCTAGAAGGGTAGGTCTTCACAGGTGTGGGACTCCGGACAGAGCACGTACTTATGCGGAGGGTATGTACTAAATCCCAAGAAAGGGCTTTGTGTATTGAAACTTCTTTGAGAGTTTCTCCTTTTCCTTTGAAAGTTTTTATTTGCTTTTAAACTAAATTGCAGGCTTGATTTGGGTTTTATCATTGTTTCCACTAATGTCTTTCTCTCCCCTATTCTAAAATTCATTCTAGAGTCTCATACTGCATTTATTATTTCTTCTTAGCCCCACCCCCAACCTGACAATTTCTTGGTCACTCTTTTAAAGGTTGACCCAATTTAGAGGTGTCAAAAGACTACAATAAATATAACTATGGATTTAATGGTTTTTATTTGTGATTGGTGAATTTGGCAGTTCTGTAAAATAGAATGAGAATTCCCACTGGGAAAAAGAAGAGTAGAGGGGGTTGTAAAGTGGGAGCAGAAAGCGGAACAATACTTTAAAACACACACTCCTACACCCACAACCTGATTGGTTGGTTGACACCACCTTACTGCTGTTCATTGTTTTGGTAAAGATTAAAGCAGAGACTTCCTTATGATGCTGACTCAAGTAGACTGAAATTTCTTACTTTCAGGAAAAACTGGTCTGGTCTCTCTGCTTCCCTAAAGTTTCAATTTTTTTTAATTTCAATTTGATTATTTAGCATGAATGATTCCATTTTTGTTTCCCTCTTGTCTTTTGGGTCCTAGTGCAGGAGGTCAATCCAAAACAGTGACCTCCCATAATTTTTGTATAAAAAGGAAAAATCCTCTTTTCTAGTTTCTTTTCATCAAAGGAAGTTTTTAATATTTTTCTCTAACTTTAGTCAATCTTGTTTTTATGGTAGAAAAATGTTAATTTTCATCCTTTCTTAAATAATCGTATCTGTTATCCATGGCCAGATAAATTAGAAGCTGCCAATTCACTTCATAAAGTAAATTACTTTGGAACTTATTTTTTAAAATATATTTTTATTAGTACATGCTTGTGATACATAATGAATACATTCATCTGGAGAGATGGCGCATGTCCATATCGTATCTTAGTCGTTTTCACTTCCCCTTGTCTCTTCTCTCCTTCCAACCCTGCATTCCTGTCTCATCTGCAAAAGACCTGCCTCCCTGTTTCCCATTTTTTTTTTCATTCATTAAATTATTTTTGCTGTCTATATCTCATATAGGAGAAGCATGTGATATTTAACCTGTGTTGGATTTATTTTGCTTTGCATTATGGTCTAAAGATGTATCCCTTTTTCTACAAATGACTCAGATTTATCCTTCTTTATGGCTGAGTAGTACTCCATTTCTTTATTCATCCCTTGATGGACATGTTTGTCATTTCCAAGATTTAGCTATTATATGTGGTGCTGCTATAAACATAGGTGTGTGAGTATCACTGTAATACAGTGTGATACAATCTTTAACTCTTTTGGGAAGACAAGGGGTAGAGGAGAACTAACAAGAGAGATGACAGGAGAACCAGGAGTAAGTGTACCCTAGAAACCAAGTGAAAAGAATTTTGAGAAGGTGACAACCAAATGTATGCTGGGCACTGGGGATGGAGTTCTCACAGAGGCTGTATCTAGTGAGGTGATCCAGACAGCACATTCTTTAAAAATTAAGTTTATTGGTATAATTTAGGTAATTTATATCTATACCTAGTACACCTTGATTTCTCTTTTTCCTCCTATTTCCCTCCCTCCCTTCAACCCTTCTTCCCCTCCTTATTTACAAAGCTCTGTTTCCATTTTATCCTTCTTTCCTCAATTTTTCTTTTCCCTCCCTTCCTTACCCTCTCCCTCCTCCCTAGTTCCCCTTTCCTTTTGAGCAACTTCTTCCCGTTTCATGATATTTCTTGTACAGTTTGTTCTTATTTACACTTTCAGTTTCTCACACCAGTGAGACAATGCAATATTTACATGTGTGTCAAATTTATTTCACTTAAGAGTATCGTCTCAAGGTCCATCCATTAGCATTAAATGTCTCAAGTTTATCCTTTATGGCAGAGTAGTACTCCATTATATTAAAAAAACCGTATCTTTTTTATCCATTCATCAATTGATGGGCATTTGGGTTGTTTCCAAGATACCATGCATTTGCCGCAGCATATTTGAGGCTGTAGGGTTGGTCCTGTTGGGGCCTGTGCTAGTTCTGGAGGGTGTGAGATAAGACTGGCTGCAAGGAGGTATATGTGAGGAAGAGGGAGGATAAGAAGCATTATCAGTTGTGCTTTCCTAGTACAGCCAGAAATCTTGCAGGTTTAGCTCGAGGTTCTCTGGATGGTTTTGTGGGCTGGGGACTCATAGGCATTGGTGGGCCTTTAAGAGTCATGAGAATAAGAACCGGGATGATAGGCAGGTTGCTGCATGTTTAGGAGTCCCTCTTTTGTTTTTGTTTGAGAGTCAGGGGATAAGAGGTCCTTTGGAGAGAAAAAAGGGCTTGCTTTTCTGTTTCATATAATTCCTAGAGAGAAGGATGTGTGGCTTGGTGATTGAAGGGTAAATATTTTGTTAGGGTCTCTGAATCACATTTAATTTTTTTTAGGGTTTTATGGGCTTCGTTAGACAGGGTAAAGCTGCAGTGGGTTGGGACCTGGGCCCTCAGTGCTCATGAGGCAAAGTGGGGCCTGGGAGCACATGTAGATGTCTGTAGTTATGGGTTTGAAGGAAGGGAAGTTATTTTGGGAGGGAGGAATTGCTCCAGAGTGGCTGTGCCACTAGTTCTGGTTGTTTCTATATTCTTGGGTGGCAGTATAAGCTGAACTGTCCATGAAATCAGGGAAATAGGCGGTTGTAACCCATATCTTTAGTGGGACTGGAGTAGCCTCTGTGGCTTGTGGTGAAGCAGACATGCAGAGATGGCATTTATCTGCTAGTGTGGGATTGGTTTTGTGGAGCAGTGAATGGTCCAGTCAGAGGGAGCAGCCAACGCTAAGCCTGTGGCAAAGATGAGGGCTAGGGGAATGTAGGGTAGCAGGAAGGGGAGGTGGCAGTACCCGTGGGGGATTTAGGCTGCCTGCCAGTGCATATGGGCAGAGGGTAAGCAGTTAGGGAGGAATATGAATGAGTGGATTTCATCAGGGAGAAGTCAGTGTTCCCTGGAA